GGGCACAGACCATGAAATCGCATTTCCCAACGAGTATGAAGTCCACAGCACACATTGGAGACATCGTTGTGACCAGAATTACAATGGGGAAACGATCCGAGCACAAACCATGAAATCGCGGTTCCCAACGAGTATGACGTCCAGAGCGCGCATTGTAGGAAGTTCAGAGGTGACATTCACGACATCATTGCGACCAGAACTATAATGGGGGAACGATCCGGGCACAGACCGGGCACAGACCTTGGAATCGCATTTCCCAATGAGTATGCGGTCCGGACCGCACATTGGCGACATCCTTGTGACCAGAATTATAATGGTGCGCCCAGCCGCGCTCAGACAAAATGTACGTTTCACCACACGTTCGTGCACTCGACACGCACGATCTCCGCAGAGGGTTGCTCGAGGGCAAACCTTGAAACCAGAATTACAATGGGGAAACGCAAAATCGACAAAACCTTGTCACCAGAATTATAATGGCGGAACGCACCGCGCACACCAAAAATGTACGTTTCACCACACGTTCGCGCGATCGACACGCACGATCTCCGCAGAGGGTTGCTCACGGACAAACGCGATTCGCGTCTCACCACACGCGCGCGCGATCGATGGCCACGATTCCACGAGAGGGTTGCGTTTCGTAAGACCTGCTCGCACCGCCCCGCCGCCTAAAGAGAAGAATAAAGAAGAAGTTGGGTAGGTGAAGTTGGGTAGGTGTCTTAAGGAAGATGTCTACACCTACCTATCTTCACCTACCTATCTTCACCTACCTATCTACACCTACCTACCTACACCTACCTGTCTATACCCACTTATCAATACCTACCTATCAATATCTACTTCTGATGTACTTTGATATTGTTGATCTGATACTTCTACTTCATATGTTATGTTGTGATGTGATATTATTTTATCACATGATATGAGATGATATGATCTGACATTGATGTGATGTGATATGATATTAAAACATGATATGATATGATATGTTATGACATTGATGTGATGTGATATGATATTATAACCTGATATGATATAATATGATATGATATGAGATTAATAACCTATGAGGTGATGATTAGATGATGATGTTGTGAGGGTGAAGTAGGAGAAAGTTAGTAAAGAATATGAAGTAAGGAAGGTGAAGTAGGATAAAGAGAGTCAGGAAGAGAGAGTGGGGAAGATGAAGTAAGAGAAAGAGAGTAAGGAAGAGAGAGTGGGGAAGATGAAGTAAGAGAAAGAGATTAAGGAAGATGAAATAGGCAGCAGTGCTTAAGGAAAAACCCTTCGCAGGTGCTTTCGGGAATAACTGCTACTTTTACTCTGAAAAAATCTGATTATCTATCGCAGCTGTTGTTAGTTCTTCTGTCCTCTTACATCTTTTGGCACACCCAGGGTTCTCGTACAACATCAAAGCAGCAAGAGAAACAGAGTGCAATGGACCACCAGGAATTTGGGGGGGTTTGACTCAGAGAAGCGCATTTGGAACGTAGATGAACTGCACGTAGAGGGAATACACAACCGCCCAGATCGGCAAGATCTTTAGAACTTTTGGTGGAACTGAACAAAGTTGCGCTTGCGCGCAGTTTGTTCTTATGGCCGGCCCGAGTGCCCTCGGCTTCCAACCCAGCTTATAATGCACCGTCTAGGGCCGAGATAGAGAAACTAATCAAGGCAGGCGCATGCCAACTGAGTGCACAGTGGTCCCAAGTAGACGTGGATGTCTAAAGGGGAAACTAAAGATGCGATGGCGTGAGTTCTTCACGCAGTGCTCTTAAGCCGGGTTAGCCAAGGCCCAGCATGAATGTTCCTAAAGTTGATGTTGATGGCTTGTTTCCATGGGCCTGCGCGTCCACAGCAGTTGCGCCCATGGAGCCCCCCAAGTTCAAAACACGCGGCGGTCGAGGCGCGTGAGAGCACAGGACATGAGAGGAGCAAACGAGGAAGCTGTGAACTCGTTCATAACCCTCTGTTTGTAAAGAGCCTGAAGTGAGCATGGTGAACGGCCTGTGCTCAAGCAGGGTGGGTAGGGAGGGCGAAGGGGTGCTTTTACACGAAAAATCCTTCTGTAGTGACCCCCACAACCGCACCAGGACACCCCTTAGACACCTGTATGCCAGCAGGTCCAACCAGGCCCCAGGCCCATCATGCGGGGTTACAGTGTGAATTTTCCTAAAGTTGATGTCGCTGGCTTGGTTGCATGGACCTGCACGTCCAAAGAAGTTGCGCCCATGGAGCGCCCCAAGTTCAAAACACGCAGCGGCCGAGGCGCGCGATTGCACAAAACATAAGAGGAGCAAGCAAGTCTCGGTATTCTTGGAGATGGGGATGGAGACCGAAAGTAAGCTCATTTCCTGAACGGTTGATCCGCATCGACGAACAGAATGGCAGAAGCTCAGTCGCGATCGAGGCAGATACCTGACATCAAGAAATCTTCGGACCAGCAGACGCTGGAAGCCCGAAGCCCATTGTTAGACAAGAGTGATGCATCGCGGTATAGATCCACAACCATGGGAGCGGCATACCTGGCGCAAGATCGCCTGGCTGTGAGGAATCTCGCCTGCGGAATGGTGACGCCCACAGAGGCGAAGTTGGCGGACCTGAAGAGGCTGATACGCAATCTCAAGCGGTATCCGGATGTGGCGCAAGTCTTCAGTTCTCAGCAAACGCCGACGAAACTGCGGATACAAGCTGATGCAGACGTGGAACGGTTGCCATCTTTGGCGCCCGTGTCCTCAAGCACAGCGCAAACATCCAGTCAACGATCGCCCTCTCAACTGGCGAGAGTGAGTACTATGCTCTCGTGAATGGCGGTTCAACGGGTCTGGGATTGCAGAGCCTGTGCAAAGATCTTGGAGTGGAACTGGAAGTCGCCGTGGAAGGAAACTCAAATGTCGCAAAGCACACTGCACAGAGAGTTGGACTTGGCAAGGCACACCATATCCAAACGAGGTACTTGTGGCTACAAGAGAGAGTAGCTGAGAGGCGCCTCAAAGTTGCCCAAGGCTGACGTTCTCACCAAATCAGTCCCCGGAGTCCAGCTCCGAAAGACGGTGGAAGATCTCCAATACATCTTCCTCGACCGAAGCAGCAAAGGCCAACTATAGCTAGACATCCTCAGATGAGGCCGTGGCCAGACTCCACCACCATGTTCAGGACTAGCGGCACTAAGCGCAGTGGGAGAGAAGAAGCTTCACTTGTATGTAAAGCCTGGTCAGAGGCTCATCTCTTTGCAAGAGGAGGAGTGTCGAAGTGTATAGCCCATATATACTCCGCATGTAAAGTTTTAAAATTCTGACTAAGGACGACTTCATTTATATTTTTGTTCAAGGGAGAACAGGGCGCTCCGTAGCGTCGATAAGGTGCTTTCAGTACTTCTATGTGTGTATGTATGTATGTATTTACTGTTTTGGGCCGTGGCCTGCCAAGTACCTTTTTACTGTAAGTAAGGAGTAAACACACTACTAGTAACTAGAGGCAGGAGAGCTCACACTCCCACTATTTATGTTGGTTCAATGTTTGAGGATATGTAGCACTGCTTCTCCCGTTAAAATGGGGCGCCATGCTTCGTTGTCGATAGTTTCGAAACCTTTCAACCCAATAACGGCTTGGAGCCCCGGGAAAAAAGACTCACACTACTCCCGTCGCAGATGTGCCGCACAGGCAAGGATGAAGCTGTTGGACAGGCCCGACGGTCCACTCACTTTGATGGATTCGTGTCAAGTTCCTTCTTAGCCAATCTGATGAAATATGATAAAATATGTGTTTTGGTTTAGGTTGGAGGCCATTGCTCTTAAATTGGAGGTTTTTTTTACTTTTTGTTCAGAATGTTTGACATGTTTCATTATCAAACCTGGAGTACTGGAGTCACCAAGTTTCACAGATCGAAGCCTTGCTAAGGAGTCAATGAGAAATGGGTCATGGTGGATCATTGTCATTCTTAAGCAATGCAAAGCTGTCCGGCATCTGTCCACCACCATGTAAGGCCACTACGTCGTGTGCAACAAGACGTACCGAGAACGACCACGGTCATGAGCTCGGCAGAGCTCAGCTGCGCAGAGCCTCCAACCTACTAGCGATGGCCTCTAACCTACCAGAGTTCCTGAACAATCAAATGTAGAAACAAGGTGAACCAACTTGCAAGATTTTTTGTTCTCAAGCTGTTCTGTTTTTGCTCAGAAGTTTGCAACCTGTTTTTCACATCATTTTAAGCTTTTCAGAGGAAGCTTGTGTCCTGTACTCTCATGAAATCTAAGAATAATTTATTGGCCAAGTCTGGCGCACTTTTCCTCCCAACTTCCCTTCAGACCCGTCGGAGTTCTGCACCTCAAGTTCCAGATGAGGTGAGTGTTCAAGCACCTAGTAGCAATGGCCTCCAACATAATAGCAATGGCCTCCAACCCAAGAAGCCAAGCTGGTCCAACACGCAGATGTTTAATTTTCTGCTGAGTGCAATTTGGACGAGCCTGGAATTTGTGTTCCATGCGAATGTTTCTTGGATCCGTGGCCGTATTTCTTTTCTCAGGCACAAGGTATCAACAATTGTCATGTGTTGTGTGGAATCACCCATTTTTTTTACTATTGACTAGTGAAACTATGCATTTCACACCTGGACAACAAACACCCTTGTAGCCCTAAGATGCCATTCGACTTTGTAGATGTTGTTTGGAATTGCAACATGAGAACATAATCGGAATCTAGAGCATGCAGCACGAAGTCTTCAAACCTCCCACAGTAGAGACCACTTATGGCAGCGCTTCCCCAAAAGCCTGCTATAGCAGAGCCAGCGGCGGCCGCTACGGCAGAGCCCACATCACGGACTCTTCCTTCAGCTCCATCCGCTCCTTCTGCCTCAACATCCAGTTCCACTACATCTGCGGCCGCATCCACCAGCACAATTCCTGTGCCAGAAGGGACCTTAAAGAAGAAGAGCAAATCGACACCACGGCTAAAGGAACATGAGACCTTTGATGGTGAGGAAGATGGTGAAGAGCCAGAGGCAGAGGAAGAGGATGGTGGTGTTGATTCGAGCGAGGAAGAGAGAGAGGAGGCGAATCAAGCCTTCGACTACCCTGAGACTTGGCTTTTGTTCAAGGTGAGAAAAGGCATGAATCAAAAAGAGAGTTGATAAAGGAGACTAAGTCCCGACCTCCTTGCCTTTTGTTCTTTATTGTTCATTCTGCAAACCCCCAAGCCTGCACAATCCTACGATACCTTTTATCAAAAGAAGAGGTTCATTTCTTTTCGTTCAAACATGAACAAATCCGAGGAGAACATGAGCAAAGATGAGGTCATCGAACGTTCACCTTTGGGCCGCTTCGTTCGCTTCAATCGAAAGCTTGGAAGTGGTTCTTACAAAGTGGTTTACTTAGGCTTCGACAACGACACCGGCATGGAAGTGGCTTGGAACATCATCTCTTTTCAAAACCTGGACAAGAAAGCAAAAAAGAGAATCTCTGAAGAGATCAACATGCTGAAGACTCTGAAGCATCCAAAGATCATTGCTTTCATCAATGCCTGGACCAATAAAGAGAAAGAGCAAGTGTGCTTCATCACGGAGCGGATCACGGGTGGTTCTCTTCTACAGTACATCAAGAGAATCAATGCTCCGCTCAAGCAGAAGGTCATCAAGAACTGGTGTCGGCAGATCCTGGAGGGGCTCAACTATTTGCATACACGTCCAGACCCGGTGATTCACCGAGACTTGAAGTGTGACAACATTTTCATCAACGGCAACCGGGGCGACATTGTCATTGGTGACTTGGGCTTGTCGACCACACTCAAGGCCTCATGTGCCAGATCGATCGTCGGAACCATCGACTTCATTGCACCAGAGGTCTACGATGAGAAGTACGGCACACAACTGGCCAAGACAGAAAGGTTTTCTTTTCGTCTCCGCCTGCCTTTCTTTTCTTAAGAAGGCGCCTACTAGTTTTGGAGGGAAGCTCCTGCGTCCAGATAGCTCACGCACGAAGGATTTGGTTCCTAGATTTTTAGGGAAACGTAACCTTCGATTTTCTAAGCGGTTACTTTTTGTTACTTTGTGCTTTTGCAAACACCCCGGCGTAGTCGATGCAAACACCCCAGAGTCACGTATTGAGTGATTGACGACTCGATAAAGCGAGGATGTTGATGTTTTTCTACTTGTTTGGCCTTTGTTTGCGCGTTGCATTGCTAGGCACTGCAGTAGACATCTATGCGTTTGGCATGGTGCTTCTGGAGATGATCGGCCGTGAGCAACCATGGAGTGAGTGTGAGACCGCAGGTCAAGTCTACAAGAAAGTCATGGCCGGTGAAAGACCCAGAAACTTGTTGCGAGTCAAGGATGAACTGCTTCGAGGAATTGTGATGCAATGTTCACGAATGAGACCTGAAGATCGACCAAGTGCTGCACAGCTCTTGGAACACAACTGGCTCACCGAGGAAGAGCTTGCAGGGGGAAATGTCCTTTGTGAGCTTTTGGCACCTGATGAAGCTCCATCCGCTGTGCCTGATGTTGATATTTTTCCCAAGTTGCAAGTGGATTTGGAGCAGATTCCGGAAGAAGATGAAGAGACGGAGTGTGCTGTGGAAGCTGCAAGCTCTGTCACACCACCAGCGGAGGTCGTGCCTGCGACCCCTGCAGTGCCGGCGGCTCCCGTGTCCGCGCCAGCCACGGAGGCTCCTGCTGTGCCTTCAGAAGCAGCGACGAGCAGCGTGACCAGTGCAGGTCCGAGTCCGGAAACGACGAGTGCACCAGCTGCAGCTCCTTCTCCGGAAGTGGTGGGAGTGGGGTCAGTCCCAGCGGTCGAACCCGCTCCGCTTACTGCGCCATCGGCGTCCACACCCGTGGTGGCAGGGGAAGCGCTGGTTCGACCCAGTGGAAGCGACGAGCTGGAAGAGCCCTTGCCAAGCCTGATGCGTCCACAAAACACCGTCGAAGAGCCCGAGCCCGAGACGGAGTTTGAAGATGCTGACGGAACCACTGGACTGGGGGAACCAAGTGTCGAAATTAGCGTCGAAGCACACGAACAGGTGGAACAGGTGGAACCCCATGACTCCATTTCAGCTCGTGCACCATCAGAGGGTTCGGCGGTGGATGGTACCAGCAGCCATCCTCTCAAACGGTCAGAGGGGCGACACGAGGAGTTTCTACCTGCAAGCCTCGGTCATCTCCCTTCCAGTCATCCCATCACCTCGGAGCAACGCTTCATGGCATTGTTAGATGAGGTGGGCACAGACGTGATCACGGAGTGTGTCATCAGTGCCAAGACTGGTCAGCAAGAGATCCGATTTGACTTTGACAGAACCAAAGACAATGTGCTGGTTGCAGCATTTTGTTTGTTTGGTGACGGAAGTGTGGATCCTTTGGGCATGGGTTTTGAAAAGTTGGCATTAGATATTGAAGATGCTGTGACACGTCGATGCAAAGATCTCATCAACGGCACCGGCACGACTTCAGTGCCTTTGTCCCACTCAGAGCGAGCAGAGCGAACTTTGTCGGGCTTTGCCCGCGACGGTGCGATGTCATCCGATGCAAATCCGATGTCCGCGGTGAAAGAGAAAGAACTCACGGATGTGGAGGCGCTCCGATGGGGGAGGTAGCGTCCTTGCTCCGTTCGTAGCGGTGCCCTTTGCTCCTAGTAGATTCTTGCTCCTAGTAGTAAGGCCAGGAGCCCCGTTCGTAGCTTCTTGTTCAAAGTAGGCCGAGGTAGGTAGGGTCCCTAGTAGAGTGTAGAGACGCAGGATAGCTAGTAGCGGAACCAGTAAGCTACTACAGAACTGGACGCAGGAGAGCTCACGCACCAATGACTTGGTTCTTAGATGTTTAGGGAAACGAATAGCGATGGCCTCCACCCTAGTGCGATGGCCTCCAACCTAGAAGCTTGATGGGACCTTCTTAGACTGTGCTTTCGCTTTGCTTTCGAAAGACGCCGATGTGGAGGACTCCAAGGTGAACTGGCACAGCCTCGGTTGGTCTGCCGCCAAGAAATTGCCGCTCTCAGCAGAGGTGTCCAACAAAGGATCAGATGAGACGGTTTTGAGAGACCAACGAGATGCCATTCTGCTGCTTCAGAGGAGCAGCGTTCACGAAGACAAAATACATATACTGTATGTCCATAGGTGCTTTAACCAACATTCATATGATTTGTTGGGACAGAATAGAAAGGGTTTACCCAGCCCTGTCACAGGAGTCTTGCCTACCTGATCCCGAAAGTCACTGAAGAGTACTTTCTGGTCCTTGGAGAATGGTGCAAACAGACCACGGAGGCTGTGGAGCAGTTTCGGAGCTATCACAACATCCCCAATGAGAAGGAAGGTGTCGTGGATGCCAAGATTTGGGACAAGCTCTCGGATGAGGTGAAGAAAAAAGATGAAAAGGAAGTGAAGAAAAAGGAAGATCGGCTCAAAGATCAGCTGAACAGGCAGCAGGAGAAGCTGCAGCGAAAAGAGCACAGGAACTTGGAAAGCTCAGAGACCTACAAGAATATGATGGATGCATGTCAGGTGAACCTTGGCGCAGTGAGCGCTGGCAAGACCACGGTAGTGACCACGGCTTCCACCGCAGATACGTCTGCTTCCAAAGGCAAGGCATCAACTGCTGAGGCATCATCTGCTGTCAGCAACTCCATGGCACAGTCCTCTCCACCAAAGACGGAGCTGAAGTCTCAGCCAAGCACACCTCGTGGTACTTCCAAAGATCCCAATTCCGGGAATGGGTTGCCCATGCCAGCGCAAACGGGTGGTATATCTTCCAGGCAACCAACACAACAGGGTCAACACGGTCAACACCAACACATGCAGCCAAATGCCACGCAGGCACCCCAGGTAGCACCTCAGGGAGCTCAGTATTTGCCACAGCATTTGCCGCAAGGTACTCAGCCAGGGACTCAGGGAGCCTCAGGGACCCAGCAATTCCAGCAATTTCCGCAGCAATCGGCGAACTTTCAGCAGTTTCCACAGAACTTTCAGGGCCTGGGACAACATGGTCAACAACCCCCTCATGGAAACTACAACATGCAGCAGGGCTCTGTTCCAGTACAGCAAATGCAGCAGCCCCAGCAAATGCAAAACTTTCAGGCCATGCCGCACGGTAACTACCCCATGCAGCAGGGCTCAGTGCCGCAGCAAATTCAGTCAAATCAGCAGATGCCATCAAATCAGCCGATGCCATCAAATCAGCAGATGCCATCTAATCAGCCGATGCCATCAAATCAGCCGATGCCATCAAATCAGCAGATGCCATCAAATCAGCCGATGCCATCAAATCAGCAGATGCCATCTAATCAGCCGATGCCATCAAATCAGCAGATGCCATCAAATCAGCAGATGCCATCAAATCAGCAGATGCCATCAAATCAGCAGATGCCATCAAATCAGCAGATGCCATCAAATCAACAGATGCCATC